TGAGAAATCTCGTTCCTAAACTTGGTAGTTACACATGACATTTCTAAGTGGAATTCTTCCTTCTATTTTCCATTCATAAATAGAATAGGGATTCTTCGTCCAAGCGCGCATTCTGTTGCCTGTGTCAGGAAGGCTGCTCTTCCCTGGCCACTTCGCCACCTTTGTTTGGTACGTAGTTTGTCAAAGAAAATAGATTTCTTACTGTAATGAATGAATTCGGGGGACGTTATTCTGGTTCGTCTCCATTTTTGTGAAACTATTCCTCAAGCAAGGCAGCCGATAAGTCATCGAAAAGTGTGTGTGAATAATGGAATAGTCAACATTAGTCATTTTCAAGTTTCCCACGGTGATATAGCATCTTCTTTTTTGAGAGCTATAAGATAAGCTAGGAAAGCGCAGCTCTATCCTACTCCTCTACCCTCACCCAAAATCCACCGAAGTAAGCTTTAGCTTATCTTCTCACACAAATGCATCGACAAATATCAAATCCATTTATCTAACAACAACTACATATTCATTACAAAACTGTTAGAGATATGAGATATCAGAAAATATATGTGTGATATATTTTCCGTAGATATCATTTAAGAGAATAATATATTTAATTAATATATTTATGTTAAGATATTATTTTGAGAATATATCTTTAGGGTTTATGGTTAGACGTATATCTTTTAGGAAGATTGTTTTCTATTTTATGAGCTTAGGTTTTGTATAAATACTCAACCTATTGATGAATAATAATGAAGCCATTCTATTTTCTTCTCCCTAATTTGTCATGGTATCAGAGCCATTCTATTCTCTTCTCCCTAATTTCCGATATCTCATATCTCTAACAAAAACTAACATATTATCTTCTTTGACCCACATAACTTAAAATCAATTATATATGGAGTAATTCATTGTAAAAACCTAGTTCATCAAATATATCAAATACAATAAGTATTTTTTGTTAATTATAGGAATTTAACTTGTTCAATTGTTTTTTACAACATTATCTTCAATTATAACCAAAATACGCTTTGAACAAGAAGATTAACTATCTGGCTTAATATCTCTAACTTTAATTTTGGGAACATCTTGAACTTCCATTGCCTTTGTACTGTCATACGTAAATGGTTGCCAAAACAACACAAAATAACCTTGCTCGTGATGATATGATGTATTATTTTTCCTGAAAATGGCGCCATAATTTTTCTCGTCAAATTCAACATTATGTTTTTACCTTTATTTCTTCTCTTCTTAGGCGAGAATCACCAAGTTTTTTCTCCCTCTTAATCATCTCGCTCAACTCTATCCCATTCATTATAATAAAATGATGAGTTGTCTTTTATTTATTGGGTGTCTATGTGTGGATACACATAGACTAAGTCTACGTGTATCAGACTATCAGCTCCCCTTGAAACCCCTTCAATCCACTTATCCACCTCTCTATAACCAGCCACCGCCCTCCTCACCGCCCCACATACAATAGCAACAACAACATCAAATTCACACTCCAAAATTTCACTCGAAAACCCGCCAAAAGCCCACCTTTTCCATGAGTTCTAAAATTCACCATCATCATAATAAGAACTTTTCAATTACACTTCAGCTTAATTTCAGTTCAGTTCAGTCCGGCTCCAATTATAGTTAAGTTCAGGTCTTAATTTTCTTTTCTCATAAAATATTCATTTTACCTCAGTTTAGTTTAGTTCAGTATATGTAAACAAACCCTTAGATACGGAGATTAACGAAATTTTAGTATTAAATTTACTTAAAAAAAATATTTGAACTGGCCAAGTTTGCAGTTCTTGCTTATTCTAATCTAAATAAAGTGTGCGCAACAAAATCAATTAAGTCGACTCCAATTATACTTGCAAATTGTTAAATGGTAAAGTTAAAATGGTAAAGTTAAAACAATTGGTAGCTTGTTCTTGAATTCTGACCCATGGCCATAGCTCATAATTCCCTCACACAGTCACACACTAGCACACCTACTACGAAATTTTAACGGGGGCAGGGAGTGGGACGGCATGTGGGCTGGTTGTTGGGAGAATGGGACGAAAGGTGGGGCTACTTCGGCATGGGTGATTGGGTGGGACGGTGGTTGGGCTCCATTTGGGTGGGGGATAGAGAAGGAGAACAGGAAGGGGAAGGAGGGTGCTAAGTTTTGTTTTTTTGTTTTAATTATATACGTAGTAGTATAAATTTTGTTTTTGGTTTTTATATTATTTTCCATTTTTTTAAAAAAAAAAAACCAACAAGAACGTGACACATGAAGATCACCTTCGTTAACAGGTTACCAAGTAAACAGACAGGTTAAGGGACTATTTTGAGCAGATGGTCAGATAATATAAACTCCTTAATTAGAGTGATTTCCATTGATCAATATTTATAGGGTTACAATAAGAAACCTAATCATATTAGGTAACATAAGATATGTACAGATATCAAAGATAATCTTATACAAAATATATCCTAAACCTAAGATGAGAATATTCTATGGATATTCTCTATCACACGACCCCCGCAGTCAGAGCGGGAGAAAATCGGATGCTCAGACTGGATCTGAATCACGCATCGAACGGTAAGGATAGTATAGTAACCCATGATCAAAAGAGAAGTGGTAGATGTGTGCTGGTGACGACAATGAGAAGCAACAACCACGACCTACATATAGTAGAGATATGCGCTTTTAGGCCGAAGGAGAAGAGTCACGCATATACTTGGGCCAAGTTGCAAATCCAAAGAAGAATAAGTTAAGGGATCAAACCATCATCGGGGAGAAGATACTACACTACTACGTGAAATCACAGTTGAAGAAAAACAAATAAAATTGTGCAAGAAAAGATTAAATTCCACTGCTTGAAATTAATCAATTCTCAAAAGAGAAACCAGGTAGCAAGAATTAATACTCTACAAAGATTCCAAGTGCTGCAATAATAAGAGGAGCTAACTTGATAGCAAAAGAGATGTGCAAAAGTTTACCTTATTGTGATATACCACCACCAAAACAAAAATATATGTGATTATGTGTAGAAAAACCAATGGGTAGGTTGGCAGATATAGTTACTGCCAATAGTGGGAGGCAGTAGTGTATGCGATTGCCACCAATGATGGAGGCGGCTTTCGCGGTTGCTACTATCGGTGGGAAACACAAAGCTACATAAAGATTGTAAAAAAAAACTTTGAGAAAAGAAAAAAAAAATCTATATATGTGTGTTTGCGGAAGCATAAAAAATTTGTGTATATCCTGCGGTGGGTTTCATTTTCTAACCCACCGGCCGGGTGAGAATTTTTGTATATGATCCCAAGATCTCACCTAAGCTGTGATACCATGTCAGATAATATAAACTCCTTAATTAGAGTGATTTCCATTGATCAATATTTATAATGTTACAATGAGAAACCTAATCATATTAGGTAACATAAGATATGTACAGATATCAAAGATAATCTTATACAAAATATATCTTAAATCTAAGATAAGAATATTCTATGAATATTCTCTATCAGGTGGGATATAAAGGTGAGATTATTTTCAGATTATTTAAAAATGGGATTATATTTGAGCAGAAGTGACAAAGGTGGGATTATTCTTTTCAATTTTTCTATATAATATATAAATATGATCATATAATATGTTGTTGGATTTGTCATAATGTCTAGTTTATAAATTAATTTTTTCATAATTTTACTAATCTCATATTAACAATATTGATGGTCAAAATTGTGTCTCGACAAATGTGCAATATATATATATATATATATGTATATATATTAAAAAAAAAACATTATAACCATTCTAATATTGTTTAGTGCCAATAAACCATTTATAGTATTATTCCACTATCAATGGTATATTTCACACCTCAATTGTACCAATTTATTTTTTAACATAGGTGATACCCCACATATGGGATTATTGTACAAGTATGAACATATAAGTTTACTTTGTTATACAAAAAATTCATGATTATTAAAATCTCATTCTCTGTCTCTTTTTTTTTTTTTTTTTTTTTTTTTTTTTTTTTTGGGAAAGTTCAATAATTTGGCAGCAAACAATAATTCCAGGAGATGCATAAAAAAAATGAGTGGGTCACTGTAGGTTTAACAAAAATGAAAACAAAAGGGTAAAAAGGTAGATTTGTCTAAGAAAAGGGTGTGTGGGGGGGGGGGGGGGAAGGTGTTAATAGCATGGGATAAAAGAGATAAGATGATAAAAAGGGGTTTTTATAAAACGTATAACGTAGAAGTGAGTCGAATCTGGTAAACAGCTCTAAATGAAAACGAGTCGAGCTATCTAGAACGCAAGAAGTATACATATATTTCCTTTTCCTTTTTTTTTGAAATGCAAAACTTCTCATTACGTGCTTACCAAACCATTGTTTCAATTATCAATATCTAATTATTACTAATATGTAAAATTAACAAAATTTTTTTTTTAATAATGTATATGTCAATGACAAATTCTTGAAAAAGGTCGGCTTACATTAATCTAATGTAAAACCGGCCTATTTTTCTCTTATGGACTGGACTCACAGGTGCTAGTCCAGAGATTTTTTTTGTCGTTTTTTTTCTTTATAAGTTTTAGCGTGTAGACTCTTCGACTCTATCTTGAATTTAATTCTCTGCAACTTCTCTCTCGAATGCTCTGCAATTTCTCTCTCCTTTGTTCATATTCTTTTGTATTTTCTCTTTCCTTTCTCCATTTCTTTGTAATTTTTCTTCACTTGACGAATTATATTTTGGATTTTTTTGAGGTTAGTTTTTTAACTCTTTTTTTAATCGCATAATTTTTGTTCATTGTTGTTGTAGTTGTTGATTTCTTATGGTTTTTCACAATGCATATGTAATATTAACTCGTAGTTTTAGACTTTGTTTCAATTATTAGTAGAATTCTTTGTTTTTTTTGTTTTTTGGGAAATTCTTTCTAGTAACCACAAACTTTTTTTTCTTAGTGGTAAAGTCTGGAATTTTTCATTATCAATGGTAATCAATAATTTAAAACGGTAACATTAATGAAAATAAAATATCATTAAACAATTAACCAGGGTTAATTTTGGTTAAATAATTGTGAATTTACATGAATACCCTTAAATTAAAAAAAAAAAAAAAAAAAAAAAACAAATCCAAAACTCAAGCCATCCCCCACCCAACTAGCCACCAGGCCAACCCCTTCCCCTGTCGGCGTTTAGCCTACCTCCTTAACTCCCAGACAGCGGCAACAAGCCTCCTCCACACACATCGGCGACCATAAACCACAAATTTCCTCTTCCCACTCTGTTCTCTTCTTTTTCTCTTTCCTCCCCTAAGAGTCATGGATTTTTTTAACATTCGAATTCGTGAATTGGGTTGTGAGTATTTCCTTCGGCATAATGATATAATTTGCTTTAGGGGTAATTTTCTGAATTTGCTTATAGAGAAGGTTGCAATTATGATTTTTTTTTCTAGTGACCAAAATCAAATGTCTGATTCATTTTTGAAGCCGAATGTTTGTGATGACGGGTTTTGAATATGAAGAGCATCAAGGTAAATTAAGGGAGGAAACGAGGGTATGATTTATTTTTTAGGGATTTTTTGGGGTCAAATTTGTTGAATATTGGGGCCGAATTTATTGATTTTGAGTATGGATTTAAGTTGTTTTTTAGGGAGGTGATGGTTTTTTTGTTTTAGGTTTTGAAGGGGAAAGCAGTACGGTGAGGCAGAGGCGGGGAAGGGTGGTGGGCAGGGCGGGGATACGAGGAAGGGTGGTGGGCAGGAGAGGGGGATGCGGGGAAGGGAGGTGAGGTGGCAGCGAGGAGAAAAATATGGAGGGGGAAAGAGAAAGGACGAAGAAAGAAGGTTGGGGGTAATTAAATGGGGGTAGTTTTGTCTTTTGAACTTTAATTGCTAAACTATGGTTAAAGAATTAACATATTATTTAATTTAAGTTACCATTGGCTTTGTCATATTACTCCGGGATTACCATTGATAATCAAAAGTTTCAGACTTTACCACCGAGGAAAACAAAAAAAAGTTTGTGGTTACCACAATGTGTTTTTTTTTTTTTTTTTTTTTTTTTTGTAATTTGTTGTATTTGTAACTATATTATTTTGATTTTTGATTTTTTTTATCGTAATTTTGTTCATATTTTAGGGTTAACTAGTTCATTGTGTTGATATTACTAGATCATGTTTTAGGTTTCACTAGTTCATTGTGTAAATATTTAGCATTTTCAACTTTCATATGCATTTAAATTTAATTTGTTGTCGTCATGTATTTGATTAATTAATCGTTCTTATTTTGAATTTTATTAGGGGCTAGTTTCCTATATTCGCGATGGTGAAATTTAGAGAGCCGTCTTACGAATTTTCGAATGAGACCTAGTTTGCGAAGCTCTGGTGGATCTGATGATGCTCAAGGTTTTACCAATTTCTCTATACAATTATAATTTATTTATTTTTTTGTACATTTTTTAAAGTTAAAACTTTAGTTGTTATAGTTATAGAAATATTTGCTTAAATTAAGCTATGCTTTATGCTTAATTATATGTCAGATTGTTTTATAAAAGTTATGTTAATCATAGTTATAGTTATACTATTTTGAGTTAAAGTCATGATTTAAAGTTTTATCTTATTATGTTATACATTTAACAATTTTTTTTTCTTTTTTCTATATATAGGTGCTAATGATGTAAGCAATTCAGTTAATGTTGCTAGGGAGAAGGATAGAAAAAGGGAGGTGGTGGGGAGGAGGTTATAGTAAAGGAGGGTCAATTAGTGAAGGGTGGAAAAAAGGGAGGTAATGACTAGTGAGGATGAGGCTGTAGTAAAGAAAGGTGCAAAAAAGGAGGTAGCAGGGAGAAGGGTAGATGGGAGAAGGCTTCAGAACAAGAGGAAAGCGAGGATGAGGGTTCGGAATAGGAGAAAAGTGAAGATGAGGGTTTTGAACAGGAGGGGAGTGAGGAAAAGGCTTCTTAACCGGATGGAAGTGATGAGGAAGAGGCTTCAGAACATGATGGAGTTGATGAGGAGGAGGGTTTAAAACAGGATGGAGGTGATGAGGAAGAGGGTTCAAAACATGATGGAAGTGAGGAGGATGCTTCAGAACAAGAGGAGGCTTGTGCAGTGGCGGATTCAGGATTTCTAAACTTGTGAGTCACCCTGAATAATTGATCACCTGTAACAATACAAAAAAAAATTCAAATCCAAAAATATTAACAAAATTCTATTTTTGGATACAACCACCTTCATTTAGTGAAGAAACTAGCGATATTTTGCATTTTATTTAGAGTACGTTTCCGCTTCATTCTGAAAATCAATTAAGCAAATAAACAATTACAAAAAATTCAGAAATTCATTTATACAATCATATATACACAATTTCAATTCATTTGAATACACATAATACATTCATATATACACAAAAGGCTACAAACTACAATTCTACAAAGTACCAATAGTCCAATAGTACTCAAAACTACTCAACAATTCTGCATTTCAAGTTTTCAACAATTCAACACCACAAATGACAAATCCACAATGTGACAAATTGACAATGAACAACATTACAACAAACTAACTGTCAATTACAAATTTTCAATGAAATTATAATTTATAAATCAATAAATGACTAAAATTATAAATATAATTAATTAAGTAATTAACACAATAAATCAATAATGAACGAACAACAAATCAACAATTCATTTCAATAATTCAATTTAATCATTCAACTATTCAAGTGACTAAAATTATACAAAATTATAATTAACAAAGCAAATAAAAACTCAAAACTTAAAAGGTATATAATTAAATACCTTGCTGCTTCACTGCTTGGCTGCTTGCTCAAAGCTCAATTGACGGTGGCTCGGTGAGTCGGTGCTCCGTGCTCGACTGACGACTGCTCGGTGGCGGCGCGGCGGTCAAGTTGAAGCCTTGAAGGACAGCAGTCGGCCAGTGGAGTTGGGCTTTAGAACTTTGAAGTCGAGGGAGTAGCCGAGTAGGGACTCGAGAGTCGAGGCCTCGAGTTGTTACTTGTTAGCGTCGAGCGTCGAACGACTGACTGAGTGGCCTCCGGCGTGGTTGCCTTCGCCGACGAAGAAGGCAAGTAGCGCTGTAGCGGCTGATTTGAGAGAGGGAATTAGGGTTCTGAGGTTTTCGTTTCAATTTCACGCGTTTTGGGCCTTTTGGCCGTTTTCTCTTGTTTTTTGTTTCTTTTTTCCTTTTTTTAAATTTTTTTTTTTGGCACTGCTGACTCACGTGACTCAGTGTGCTCACGTGTAAGTCCGCCACTAGGCTTGTGAACTAGAAGGAAGTGAGGAGGGGCTTCTAAGCAAAAAGGAAATGAGGATGATGTTTCTGAATAAGATGCAAAAGAGAATGAATTTTTTGAGAGAAAAGTAGGTAATTAATAGAGAAAACGAAATTGAGCCAGAATGCAAAGAAGCCATCAAAGGATGATCGGTGTCCAGTTGAGAAAAAACCAGCAAAGGATTATCAACGTCTAGCTGAGAAAAAGTCAGCTAAGAAGAAGACATCCATTGTCATCCCTAATGGGGACCATGTAATGTGGATATAGAGTATTAGAGTTTGTTTGTTTGACATGTGATGAAAAGCAATAAGACGTTTCTGAAAAATTACTTGTAGACACCTAAAAATGTCTCCCCAAAACTAAACCTGATGTTGGACAACCTTTCACCGTCATTATTGGTCGGGTTGAGTATCTAATCTTTGGAATACTCAAATACATATTCAACGCAATACATTTCATAAAGCGAACCGATTCTTAGCCCATTTTCTCAAATCATAACTTATATTCCTCTTTTCGTGTCCACAACACAAAACTGTAATTAACTAAGTTGATAGCCCTATAATTTTGAACCAAATATTATTTGGTCGGATATGCCTTGAAATAATATTTCCAACGATATATCATAAGTCCAATTTCGATTTAAAACGAGGAAATATGAGCAAAACACTAAAACTCGGCCAAAAACTGTCACACTTGTACTAAAACGGCCATATAAAAAAATCTACAAAATATTTTTACCTGATTTTAATTGGGTTGGAAATTAGACTTGATAATCTTTCTAACGATATATTATATGTCTTATTTCAAGTTACGAACCAAAAGTTATCATAGTTTTAAAAATGTGTAAAAACTGAAAATTACCGCGCCACGGTAAAAATACCGTGACACGGAAGACTTTGGTGCATACAATATAGAACATGGGCATTGTAAAAATTAATACGGTTCTAAAGGATACAATTATCCATACACTAATTTATACAAATACTTAGTAAAATACGAAGCATATAGCATTTCTTATCTCAAAATGAAGCATGAAAAATTACCTAAATTTGGTGCAAGATAAGAGGTGCACCAAATTGAGGCACCATTGCTGCTAGACACATAGGTGCATGAACATAAGATGGGGAGAGCTCAAATGAGAAGTGCTGAAGAATCTTTGTCAAGGCAAGCTTTGCCTCTATCAATGCATAATTCTTTCCAACACACATTCGAGGTCCACCACCAAAAGGCATAAAAGATCCTGGAACTTTATTTGCATTTAACACTCCTTTCGCAAATCGATTTGGATTGAATTCATTTGCATCGTCACCCCAAAGATCTTGATCGCGATGCACCATGATCGTTGGCATATTAATCTCCATACCATTAAGTAGAGTTAGGTTCTTCAATTTTGTATCTGTATGGATGATTCGAGATAGAGATGAAGCTGGTGGGTAGAACCTCAATGTTTCATTTATAATCATATTGACCTGTAGAACAAGAAGGGAATGTGTGTTAAATCAAAAAGCTCAAATACATCAAACTAGACCACACGAAAAAGCTCAAAAAGATAAAACTAGACCACACCAAAACTTCAAGTTTCTATTTACATAATACTTCATTCGTCTCTATTTACATAACACACACAGACTAGTATAATGATACATATAAGATTATATCATGGATAAGCGAACTTACTATTGTAAGGCTATTGAGGCCGTTATAATCCGGAGTATTATCTTTCCCAAAGCGCGACAAAACCTCCTCTCTAGCTTTGCTTTGCCAATCTTGGTGTTCGGAAAGGAGCACCATTGCCCATGTTAGTAAAGATGAAGTTGTGTCTTTTCCAGCTAACAAAAATAACTTGCATTCATCGATTACTTCTTCCATCGAGAGCCCAATACCATTTTCTTCAATCTCTTTTTCATTTGACTCTAACATTATACCTAACAAGTCAACTTTATTTATTGACTCTTCTGTTTGCTTTAATTTTTTTCTGTTTTCCACCAAAGTTTTCACCATTTCTTTAGTTTCATGAGCCAGTTTCTTCCTCCTTCGATTAACCTTAGTGGGTAGATATCTGAAATATTAAGATCAATTTACTCCAAGTTAGTGCAAAATGCAAGATATCAAAAAATCTAACTATTAATCCATTAAGAAGCATTACTGACAACGTAGATACTCTTATTTAAAGTCTATTACCACTTATTTGAATGTTACTTTTAACTTTATTTCTTATTGATATTGCGTTTTATTCGAATAAAGTTACAATATTACCCTTATTTAAAATCTATTGTCATTTAAATTATACTTCTAACAATCTCTCAACCCTATTTGAAGTGTATTGAGTCATGTAATTAAATATACTTTTCTAAATAGCTGTAACAAAGTGTGTGTGTTGCAACTATTAAAAAACGGTTGAATTGAAAAATAACATTGATCATACCTCCATCCAGGAATGTAGTTAGATATGGATCGCATTACTTGAAAAGCTAGGAACACTTGTTCTTCTTGGAGCTTAAATAGCTTTTTACCTTCTTCATAAGAGCTTCCGAAAGATGTTTTAGCAATTACATCGCCGGAAAAGACATTAAGAGAAGAATAAACATCGACTTCAGCTGATCCAGTTGTCGCTATTATTTCTTCCCATTTACGTATCATTGTGTCGCAACATTTTTCCATTGTTGGCAACATATTCTGAATATGACACCACATTTAATCATTGTAATGTAAAAATGTAATGAAGCAATGTTATAGAATTGCTCTCTAAGGGCAATAGCAATAAGAGGTTTGTGGAAAGGTTTGTGGGAACAATTTAGAGGTTTGTTGTGGAGAGGTTTGTGTAGACAAACCGGTTTGTATTTGCTTAGTTGGCAAAAATTGAAGCTTTTTTTTTTTTTTTTTTTTTTTTTAAGGAAAAAAAGTTGTAGGAGTAAATATTATGAGTTGTATTGATAGTGAGTCCCTACATAAACCTGTAGATAGGTTTATCTATTGTTGATGAAAGGTTTGTTAGGAAAGAGGTTAATGATTACGTGTCAAGTGAATAACCTCTTAAAGGTTTGTTCTATTGTGGATGCCCTAATTCAACTAGTTTTTAGCTTCTGTACTAATTTTTTTTTTTTGAAAAAAAAAAACATTTTTTTATTTTCACAAAATATTGGCTAAGTTCGTTTCACTGTGTAGTGAGTTTACACATCTATTACATACTCCATCTGTAGTTTATTACTAACTTCACTTTCCTTTTATGGCCATATTTAATAACTTTCTCCATTTCTTTTTTTTTTTTGGAAAATTTTAACAATACTTTTTCATATTCTCTCTCCTCCCCAAGTATACTCACTTTTGTTTTTTTTTTTAGTATTTTATTATTCAAGCAACCCCATTTTCAAAACAAAATAATACTACCTCCGTTTCATAAAATCTGCAACAAAGTGGCTTGCACAATCCCCAATGCAAAATTTCTTAAGCAAAGCTTAGTAAACAAAGGGGCGTATGATTAATTTAATGAGAGAGAAAGTAACCCCACCACAACCACCCAAAACCCAGCCAACCATTAGATCACCAACACCACCAGACCACCAACGAATAAAGCCTCACCTCACCACCACCAATCAACTCGCACCACTACCAAAAACCCACCCAACCACCAACGAACCAAAACCCCAACAAACCACCACCAAAAACCCACCCAACCCACCAACAAACCACCACCAAAAACCCACCCAACCCACCAAATTATTATCAAAACCCCAACAAACCACCACTATTTTAGATCTGAAACCCCAACTTACCACCACTATTTTAGATCTAAAACCTCAACTTACCACCACCAAGGAAACTAATCGAAATACTGAGATTGGGTGAGGTGAAACGGATGAACGACGGAGAACTAGCAAGGCTGGGTCTCGGTGGATAGTGTGGTGCGTGGTGGATTAAAAACGGCGAACTAGCAAGGTGGATCTTAGTGGATAGCAAAGGATGAATGACGGCGAACAAACGAGAGAAGAGATAGTGTGGTGGATCTCAGTGGTGGTAGTGGTGCGTCGGTGGTGCAGTTGATCTGGGTGGTGGTGGTGGTGCGTTGGTTGTGAGAGAAACGAGAGAAGCGAGAGAAGAGGGAACAAGGTTGAATTGGTGCTGGTGTGGTTGACAGTGAGGAGAGAGAAAAATTGGTGATGTTGGTGGTGGATATGGTTGTGAGGGGGGAGAGAGAATGTAGATTAGGGTTTTAATTATGGATAAATTAATTTGGGTTAAAGAGTTAATATGTTGTTTATTGCAATTAATTAAAATTTAGTATGGGTATGCTGGTAATTTTACACAAAAATTTAGTAAAAGAGAAAATTTTTAGTTTTTTTTTTAAAGGCAATCGATCGGGGATTTTATTAATTAAACCAAATCAAGTTCCGCCAAGGCCATGATGCCTTGGGGGAAGAGTCAGACATTACATAATCCGATCCACTAATAGGAGCTAATCTCGCTGCGAGAGAGAAAACTTTTAGTTTGTTGCACATAATGTGTAATTTCCGTTTTGAAAAATTGTTGCACATTTTATAAAACGGAGGTATTACTTTTATCATTCCTCTCAAAACTCCATGTCTAGATAAATGAAGTAATATGATACAAAAAGAATATTGTATTCTAAAATATATAAATAAATAAATAAAAAGATAAAAGATTACCTTCAACTTTTCCATTTCAAAAGCAGGGTTGATGATTCTCCTGACTTTAGCCCAATCTTCACCCTCTCGCAGCACTAGCCCAAAAGTTGTCTTCTTTCCTGGAGGTCCCTTGGTGAATACCTCGTACTTGGTAAATATCTCCCTTATAAATTCAGGCTTTGTAATGTTAAGCCTTGGACTTCTTCCATACCACATAAAGGAGTCCTTCCCTATTCACAAAAGAATATCGATATTGTTATTTAAAAGTATTGGCCTCGGTAATGAAAGTAAATAATACGCTATGTTCGTTTTATCTTATACTAAATGATTTTTTAAAGTAAATAATACGCTCTGTTCATTTTATCTTATACTAAATATTTTTTTTTAAGGTAATGTGAATCAAATCTTATTCAAACCATCTCGCAAAATATAGAAATTTAAATATGTCCATGTATTCAACTATAATATTAGTTGCAAGAACATCCATAAGCATGTTTCCTAACATGGTTGATACCATAGGGAAAATCATGTACTCGATATTGATAATATTAGTTGCAAGAGCATCCATAAGTATGTTTCCTGACATGGTTGATACCATAGGGAAAATGATGTACTTGATATTGATATAACTAGTCATCTCATTTCAGGACCTATTCAGTTCAACTTAATTCAATTCAATTCACTTCTTAATTTTCTTCTTTTATAAAATATTCATTTCAGCTCAATTCAATTCAGTTTAGTTCAGTTCAGTTCAACTTAGTTCAATTCAACTCAATTCAGTAAATGTTAACAAACCCTTCCTCTATTTATTGAGTATTACTCCTAATTACTTTATTATATAATAATGTTTTGTTTTCTATGATACACTTTTGGACACTTTCTAAATCAAAATTCTAGATTGTTTAAATTTTGAATTTTAACACCACAAAAAATTTAAAAAAAAAGGTTTATAACACTACAAAAATAAAAAAAAAATTAAAAAAAATTAAGGCCCCATCCTCTTCACCTTATTTTTGCTGAAACTGAAATTATTTTTACTGGAAAAAAAAAATAAATTTGTTGAACTGAAATTATTTTTACTGAACTGAAATTATTTTTTTACTGATTTTCTATTATAATTTTTTAAAAAAAAAACTGAATTAAACTTATTTTTACTGAACTGAAATTAATTTTACTGAATTGAACTTATTTTTATTGAACTGAAATTATTTTTACTTAATATTATTTTTTTAAGGTGAAGAGAACAAGGCCTAACATCACAAAAAAGTTCACAAAAATGGCTTCTACCACCACTTAACTGGTTTCTAGATGGAATCCATTAGTGGGGTCTATTATTCCATGTGTTGGCATATAACTGGTTAAAATAAAAAAAATAAAAAAAAAACCAAAACCCAACAGCTAACCCCGGCCACCCTAACCCCACCACCGACCACCGACTGCCTCTGCCCTCACCTCTGACACCCCTATCCCAACCCAAGTGACCGAAAATCCCTCCCCCCTTTTCTCCACCCTCAACCCGGCAACCTCCCCCAAACGACCATCAAAAAAGGCCGGCTATTTTACAAACGCCCCACAAACAACCATCAAAACGCTGTTAACGATCAGAATTGGCTGATTGCAGGTCGAAATCGACCACCCCAGTCCTAAATCGGCCGATTTCGACCATTAGTGGTCGTTTTTGGTGGCGAATTTTAAGGAGTTCGTAAAGTTCGGCCGATTTTGAGGGAGTTCGTGGGAGAGAGAAGGGGATTTTCCGGTGGCTGGCTGGGAACAAAAGGGGTTAAGGTAGGGCTGTGGTGGCGGCGCGCTCTCGGCGTTGGGGTTGTGGTGGTGGCGCGCTACCAACGGTGGGGCTGGGGTGGTTAGGTTAATTTTAGGGTTCTTGTTTTTTTTTAATTTTTCTTTTTTTAAAACTAATAATATAGCGACACGTGGCATAATAGACCCCACTTAACGGATATTTTGATGGAAACTAATAACTGGTGGTAATATCTTATATTGTGAACTTTTTGTGGTGTTAAAATTATTTTATTTGTGCTTTTTTTGTGATGTTAAAATTCAAAATTTCCTTTGTTTTTTCAAGTTTTTAAGTAAGAAGTAGGTTCTATGAAAGTATGGAGTTAGAAATTCTAATAGTTTTATAGGTCAACCCAATCTAAGTTAATAGACAAGACCACATAGGACAGGGGGTATGGGTGAGCAAACCTGGTACCCGATCAAAATAATACAAATTGGACCGAAATTGGCTGAGACCGAATCTTAAAATTTAGAATGAATTGGAACAGGTTCAATTGCTTCCTAAAATTTTGAAATTAGACTTGAATAAACTGCCAGTTACTGGTTTCGATTACACAGCTATATTTGTACTTCATTTGTTTCTCTAATATTGCAACATGGGAAGGGGACACATTTCTCAAGAAGATGAGAGGGATAGAGAGGAATAAAGATAGCAACTTATGTGATGAGGAAAGAGAAAGCAAAAACATGTGCAAATAAGGAAGTGTTGCAATATCTGTAAAACATTCTAAAATAGTAATTGTTGGAATGTAGGTAGAACGAATCAAATATACAATATTTTTTTGAAAAATAATAAAGTACAAATTATTATACTTTTTTGGTTTATTTAATCTCTAAATTTTTAATACTTATGTTTTTATATGCATTAAGGTATTTTATTTTTGTTGGGCTAATAATATTATTTGGTTTACTGAATAGATACACTCAACATATTTTTGATGTTTAAATACATATATTTTGATATATGTCGGGTAATCAGATACCAACCGATTTTCGGTCCTAAAATGTTGAGAATTGGAATTATATTAAAATCGTTTGTAACTAGTTTCGTAAGTAATTACCTGAAAATATGAAATTAGAACCACTGGATCTAATTCCAATTTTAATTATGTACAAGTTGGTTCCTTACTAGTTCTGGCTTCAATTCCCAATATTCAGAATTTTTGCTCACCCCTAACGAGGGGTTAGGAAATCGATACTTCCCTGACCCCTCGTTAGGGTACGGGTGAGCAAAATAAAGACCAACACATAAACAATACTTCGTATATGGTAAGTGACAAATTATTCATTAATATGGAGTAGAAGTATTCTCCATTATTTAATTTTTGACTAACGAAGAATACTTCGTATATGGTAAGTGAATAAATTCTCAAATCTTCAATAACATAATACTAAAACAGACAATAGGAAATAACATTTCCTGGTGTTGTTTTTTTCCCTCCAAAACATTTTATTTTTTTATTCACTTCCTAAAAAATATACATTTTTTTATATATAATTGTGATTCACTTCCTTACAAAAAATATTTAATTACCAAATCATATAATTGTGCTTCACTTCCTTAAAAAATATTTACCAAATCATATAATTGTGATTCACTTCCTTATAAAAAAATTATTTACCAAATCATATAATTGTGATTCACTTCCTTACAAAAAAAAAAAAAAAAAAAAAAAAAAACCAAATCATATAACTGTGATTCACTTCCTTAAAAAAAATATTTACCAAATCATATAATTGTGATTCACTTCCTTAAAAAAAAATATTTACTAAATCATATAACTGTGATTCACTTTCTTAAAAATATATATATATATATATATACCAAATCATATAATTGTGATTCACTTCCTTAAAAAAAAATTTACCAAATCATATAAATCTTATTAACTTCCTTAAAAAACATATTTACCAAATCATATAATTGTGATTCACTTTCTTAAAAAAAATATATACCAAATCATATAATTGAAAAAAATATTTTCCAAATCACTTAATTGTGATTCACTTCCTTAAAAAAAAATAACCAAATCATATAATTGTAATTCACTTTATTTAAAAAAAAATATTTACCAAATCATATAATTGTGATTCACTTTCCAAAAAAATATTCACATCTTTTCTATATCTTTTCTTGTATAAAATATTATTCTACATCTTTTTTTCTTTTTTTTTGGTGTTTCATCTATAAACTTTTTTAATTAATTTCATTTAAAAATACAAGGATTATTTTTTTGGTAGATTTTGAATTAACATTATAATTCGTTATAAAATTTTGTAAAAACCGTGTGTTATGGAGCTTAATCTAGTTCTTTAACAAAATAATTGCCAACACATAAACAATGTTATTGAACTAGAGTAAATGAATGCGAGTAATATCATTTTCGATGGATTGTACTACTCCATATTAATGAATAACTTGTCAATTGTACTCAATCCATTCTATTACTCCGTATTAATCTTCAAGATTCCAATGCAAATTGAGTAATTGACAATTTTTTTAGAATGTAGATATTTTTATAATACGGACAGAGTATTGAGTATTGTAAATTGTCCAAAAAGCAAATAGGACAAGTAATATAATAGTACAAGGAATAGAATATTAGAATACAAGTGAGGGTACCCTGCGATAATTAGACCTTAACAAAAATCTACGAAGTATATAATATTACCTCCTTTTCATATTATTTGCAATAATTTAACATAAAGTATAAGTAGTAAAGGTCTAATTAGGTATTTGGCCTATATCCCTGTATTTGATTATTAGAACACTTACATCAGTGAGCATTTTTATGCTCATGAGCAAAAATGGTGAGCACTCTTTCAAATCTTTCACATTTTTTCTATTCGAGTATATGCAATTGTTAAAAAAATATATTGTGTATATATAATAATAAAACGATTTAACAAAGAATCGTAAAACATACCATATTTTTGGATGGTTTGATGAAAAAAGGGCATGATATGAGGGATTATATCATGAGAGAGGGATGAAATGGACTTGGAGATTGATGATTTGTTGATCTCAGCGAGATCACCGGAGATCGGACGGTAGGGATTGCCTCGAAAGCCTTGATCTCTCAAGCACTTCTCCAACCTCTTTGGCTTCAACCATAGTGAATTGATGAGATGAAATGGAACATAAACAAACATTAACACTAAAAGGATGGTTGCAACAATATCAGTAAGCATGTTTCCTAGCATGACTGATCTAAGAAGTGGTATAATTTTTTTAAGGTGTGAAATGTTGTACTTATACCATTGATAAAAGATAAAAAGAACTAAAGATGTTAATTGCTTAATTAGTCTGACACTTTCCAACAAGAAAGTCTACATCACTTTGAATAAATGATGGTATCACAGACTCACAGTTGCTTTTTGGCCATGTTTGGTAATTGGCTTTTTAATGGCTTTTTGGTTAGCTTTTGGCTTTTTAAGGTGGTCAAAACAGCCAAAAAATGTGTTTGGTAATTGGCTTTTTAGTCAGCGAAAAAGCTGGCTTTTAAGCCAAAATGAAAAATCTGTTTTGAGTAGCTTTTTTGTTGGCTTTTGGCTTGTTGGCCCACAAATTATCTAATAAACAGCCAACAACCAACAATTAATTTACCAAACACTTTTATAAACAGCTAGCTTAAACAACCAATTTCAAAAGCCATTATAAACAGCCAAACATTCCAGCTAATCAAACAAGCCAAGTGAACCAGCCAACAGCCAACCGCCAACAACCATTTGCCAAACAAGGCCTTTGTATTAAGGCTTTCGTATGAACCACAAAAAATAAATAAATAAATAAATATGAACAAAATAAAAAGACATTGTGAAAATGAAAGAGCCTATCTTGATGGGTTGGGAATCTCAATTGGTCTTGTATGGACCCGGTCTACAATAAATTATTGTAGACCTAAAATTTGACACTTTCAAATAATATAATCACATTCTAGATAATATAATCACTTTTTCAGATGATATAATTATCTTTTTGTGAGTCATATTTTGATCTCATATTAAACCATTTAATGAGATTATATAATTATCTTTAGGATGATAAAATTTAAAAATCATCTTTTGAATGATGTAATTTACTATTTGATAATTTTTATAATGATAAATTCACTTTTTGAGTGATACATTTAAGTAATAGTTTCAAGATGATATAATCACTTTTGTAATAATATAATCACATTTCGTATGATATAATCACATTCGTATGGTATACTAGAAGGTTGGGTCTACAATAAGTTATTGTAGACCAGATCTATTCTAGTCTTAATATGGGAATCTGGATTAGATTAGAAACATTTTGTTTTTATTTAAGTGTTCCAAATTGATCGGCATAATTATCATTGTGAAAATTTGATTAATGATATCTTTAATTATTACTCCGTATAAAGTATAAATTATAAAGTGTGTCAAAAAAAGTATAAATAATAAAGAGGTTTACTCTAATCATAACATAATACTAAAACAGACACAAAAACTAACACATGTCATTTTTTTGTGCCGTTTCTTTCCCTCCAATTATTTTTTTTTAATTTACTTCCGTACAAAAAATATTCACTTCCTTATACTTTTGATTTACTTCCTTACAAGTATAATTGAGATATTTATTCTTAAAAAAATATTCACCAAATCATATAATTGTGATTCACTTTCTAAATAAAATACTCACATATTTCCCATATCTTTTACTGCATAAGATATTATTCTATAAGATATTTTATTTAGAAAAAATTATCAATCAATCAGTAACAAAATACTCCCTTCGTTTTTAAATACTTGCTCCATTTCTCCATGCGCGGAGTTTTAGGAGAAATTGGAGAAAGTGATAAAATATGGAGGTAGTGGGATAAGTGGAAGAATAAAAAATTGTAAAAAGCAAAAGTAATAGAGAGAATCGGAGGAGAGAGAATATGAAATTAATAAAATATGATTTAGGTTGGGTCAATTAGGTGAGAGAAATGAACTAAATATTGTAAAATCATTCCGAATAAGGAAATGGAGCAAGTATTTTAAAACGGCCGAAAAAGGAAAGTGGAGCAAGTATTTAAAAACGAAGGGAGTGCTAAAACAGACATTAAAAATAACACGTGTCATTTTTGGTACCGTTTCTTTCCCTCCAATTATTTTTTTATTTACTTCCTTACAAAAAATATGCACTTCTTTATACTATTGATTCACTTCCTTACAAGTACAGTTTTGATTTACTTCCTTAAAAAAATATTTACCAAATCATATAATTGTGATTCGCTTTCTAAATAAAATACTCACATATTTTCCACATCTTTTACTGCATAAGATATTATATCAAGAAAAAATAATCATATAAGTGTAACACTTATTAAAACACGGAGGAAGTAACATAATACTAAAATAAACACCAAAAATAACACGTGTCATTTCTTAATTTGTGCCATTTCTTTCCCTCCAATTAATTTTTTTTATTTACTACCTTACAAAAAATATCCATTTCTTTATACTTTTGATTCACTTCCTTACAAGTATAATTTTGATTCACTTCCTTAAAAAAATATTCACCAAATCATATAATTGTGATTTACTTTCTAAAAAAATACTCACATATTTTTCATATCTTTTACTACATAAGATATTATTCAGTAAGATATTATATCAAGAAAAAATAATTTGAATGTAATGCAATTTTCCACTCCCAAATTCAGTATTTTTTTTTTTTCTGTTACTTAGAGATAATTAACCATACATTATTAATATTATTGTTATTGGTATTACTATTAATATTACTATTAATAAAATCATAATTTTAAATATCAAACTAGATTAAAGGGTCTGTTCACATTTACTGAGCTGAGCTGAACTGACCTGAACTAAACTAAACTAAACTAAACTAAACTGCAATAAATATTTTATGAGAGAAGAAAATTAGGAGCTAAACTGAACTGATTGGAACTGAACTGAACTGATTGGAGCTAAACTGAACTGAACTGAAATTAAGCTGAAGTGAACAGGCCTTAAGCCCCGTGCTATGCATGGTTTTTACAAAATTGTATAATGAACTATAATGTTAATTCAAAATCTACCAAAAAATTATCCTCGTGTTTTCAAATGAAATTTAAAATGCTTGAATCTTACCAAAACAAAGGGCATGTTCACTTCCGCTTAATTTCAATTCAGTTTAGCTCCTAATTTCCTTCTCTCATAAAATATTCAGTTAAGTTCTATTCAGTTCAGCTCCAATCAGTTCAGTTCAGCTCAACTCATTTCAGTAAATGTGAACAGACCCTAAGCCCCGGACCCCACTTCCACCCTAGTTGTTCTTTTATTACATTATAAAAATACAAAAGAGAATATTTTATATAACAAACAATTGTTTTAAATGGACTCACTTGTAGTTTTCTTAATCTACCTGTCCACCCCAACGTCCCAAGTATTGTAGGAGGGAGTAAAAGATATAGAATAATATTTTATACTATAAAAGATAGGGATAATAGGTGAATACTTTTTTTAGGAAATGAATCACAATAATATGATTTTTGGTGAATATTTTTTTTTTAAGGAAGTGAATCACTATTATATAAAGAAATGATTTTTTTAGGAAGTGAATAAAAAAAAAGTTTTGGAGGGAAAAAGAACAGCAACGGGGTGTGACACGTGTCATTCCTGGAGTCTGTTTTAGGTTTCATTTACATTACTGAAATGAGCTGAATTGAACTGAACTGATTAGAGTTAAACTGAACTGAGCTGAACTGAACTGAAATGAGCTGAAATGAATATTTTATGAGAGAAGGAAATTAAAAGCTGAACTGAACTGAAGTGATTGGAGCTGAACTGAACTTGATTGGAGCTAAATTGAACTACCACTGAACTGAAATTCAGTAAATGTGAATAGACCCTTAGTATTATGTTATTGATTAAAAATACATTCATAAAACGTATGGATACAACTTAAAATTTTTATTTGAAATAATCTATAGAATATGAATACCTTATTGTATATTTTATAAATAGAAATATATTTGTAAAATTAAATTAAGCTACATATTATTATTAAACATTAAAATATTTGGTAAAACTATGGGTTGCATGGGATTTAAGCTAATACGAAATACATATGAAAACTATGTATCGGAACCATTCTAACAAGTATTCACATCAATATATTTAATCTTTTACACTCAGTATAAAACACAAAATTATTGATCAAAGTTTCGTATTGATAGCTATGTCGGTCAAATATAATTGAGGTGCTTGAAATAGACAAGGCAATAGTAGTGGGGATTGAAGAAGAGAGATGTAATTAATAATTATAAATGTATTGGAGGTCAGGAGGACCCTACGGATTTGAAGCGATCCTTGGGGATCTAAATGCCGCTTAATTAGAAGAATTAGTAGAGTAGCGTGGCCAAGAGGCCCAAGATTAGTTTCAAAGACTTAGCTTTTTAGTGACTTCTTAGCTGATGTTTTGATCTTCTTTTTCGTTGTTTGTTCTGCTTTTAGTTTGTTTTTAGGGCTTGTTCTTCGTGTTCACCAAAAAAAAAAAAAAAAAAAAAAAAAAAAAGTACTCCGTATCACTTAGAAAAAAAGGAAAGGTTTATTACAAACTACCTAGTTAGCATAACCGTAAAGTAAGGATTATACTAGATTTGGTCGTAAGGTAAGAATAACACTAGATTTGGTTGACAAGTGATACGACACAATCTAATATATATAAATAAAGTAGACATTTTTCGTAAGCATTCGGAGCGCCACATAAGAAAAGTAAATATTTCGTCCAATGATAAATTAGATTTGTATATTAATTTATTGTATCACCACGTAGGTAAAAGTAGCGAACAAGATATTGTATTTATCTTAAGAAATTTTAATGCCACATAAAAAAATTATATCGCCACGTAGGTAAAAGTAGCGAATAAGATATGATATTTATCTTATAAAATTTTAATGCTGAAAAATCACAAATTTTACTTATCATTATCTTTATTTATCTTATAATAATTTTCATCTATCATTATCTTTATTTGTCTTATAGTAATTTTTTTGGAAAAAAATTATCTTAAAAAGAAAAGTGCACAAATTTTACCAACGTAGAATAGGTATGACAACTCCACTTTAATAATACAACCGAATCAAAATTATCTTATAAATGATTTTTTTTAACCATTAAAGTATAATAAGTATGATAATTCCACTTTAATACTTAACACTTCCGGCCAAATAAAAATTTAAGGGAAAATTATCTAGCTTGTGACACTATATCACAAATACTAAATAATACCTCCGAAAAAAAATTATATTTAAATGATAAAGTATCATCATAAGATAAATTTTGATAG